TTATATCATTACCGGTCACTGTTGCGTCTGCAGAACGTTCATTTTCCAAGCTAAAAATAATAAAAAACTACCTAAGAAATTCAATGGGACAAGAAAGGCTATCAAATATCAGTATTTTAAATATAGAACGCTCAAGAACTAAAGAACTTAATGTAAGTAAAATTATTGATGATTTTGCTAATCAAAAGGCAAGAAAAAAAATTTTTGTAAATAATATGGTAATATAATAAAATAAAAAATATAAGGTATTATTATTATTAAATTATGTTTGTATTCAATTTTTTAATTACTTGACTGGGTGCAATAGTGTACCTAATAAATGAGGACCATTTGAATAATGTAAATAAACTAATTGTAAATAGAGTATTCAAATCACAAGGTTACAAAAACAGGTTCAATTTCAGTTATAAAGGCTGATGCCTGATTCCTAGGAGCCATCTAGTATGTAGAAACAATTTACAATAGTGTAAACAAAGATTTATCTATGAATACCGGGGGGGTGAACCCCTAGAACCCCCCTTGTATACACGCCTGTTAAAGGGGCCCCAAAACATTTTTTGCACCAGTGCCCCACAAAACCTAGTTGCGGCACTGGTGACGAGTGGTTTTGATACCGCGGTGCTGTACTGTAATGTGGTAGTTGGAAGCTTGTTGACCGTGTTTCTGTGTAGAAACGCGTCATGCTTGCTTCCAGCGCCCGTAAACGTGCCTCATACGTTTGTGCGTCGCTAGTTGACGGCATTGTTAGTCTGAGGTGTTTTATTTGTGCAGCGGCGGTTTCAAAAGTGTCATTTGTTATTTTGGTTGCGGTGTGGCCCTGTTGCATGGTCGGCTGGGACATGCCCTGTCCTGATCTACTGTCCGCTGGTGTTTGCTGTCCTTGGGGGACCTCCAAACCTCCATTGAACTGTTGACCGTCGGACCGGTCTGCCTCCGAGTCTACCTGCGTAGGTACCGCGGTAGTTTCCCTGTCGTGGTAAAAGACCACGTCTTCAGGTTCCAGCCCTTGGTCCCGTATTTCCTGCTTTAGCCTGATGATTAGATCCGGCTTTGATCGGGAAATACTGAGGCCCCGGGCCGTGCATTCTGCACGTAGTTCCGCCGACGTCAACTCCGTCAACGTCTTACCAGTCATATTGTATATATTTCAGGTGTGATCGTTGTGGGGTTGTGTGTTCGGTGGCTGTGCTTTCCGCGCAGTTTACAATATAATATATGTGGTGGTGTGTTTTTGTTTATTTTGCTTTTGTGTACGCGGATTTCGCGCGACGTTCGCTGATTTGTTTGATTATCGCTATCGCGTAAACAGAGATCAGCTGGCGGCGGCGGCGTCGACGGTGTGTTCCAATTATAGCGAAACTGGGTCACGTTCTGGCAGCGGCGGCTGTTGACGGCAGCGGCAATGACCGATTTTCAAGGTTGTGGTCTGCGCGCTGCGTGTGTCCTAGTTTTACGGTGCGAGAGGTGGGCGTTGCGGCGGGGTAGCGATTCGTTATGTAATTGCTTCCCGAAGCCGTATCACGATTATACTCGGTTGCGCGGATTTCCCCCTTGTGTACTAAAATAGTTCTTACGTAATGCAATGTCGGGAATCCTAGCTTACCGGTAGACACACTCCTGGGTAAACATCTTAATACTAATGTAATAAAGCAAATAATACCGAGGTATGTGTCAGCGTGAAAACTCTTAACTATTCGCTGTCTTGAGGTGGTGATGACTTGGGGAGATATCCTCAGCGGGGAGCCAATTTACGCGGCTACACAGGTTAGGTTGTGTAGGTGCCGGGTGGCGTTTATTTAACGTAAAAACAGGAAGACCCGTGGTCGGGTGAAAAATGGGTTTACAATGTATGAAGACGGATTCGGTGGGTCGCGTTTCGTAGTGACGGATCAGACCTTGACGGTGGTTGAAGAACGAGCGAGAGCCGGCGGCCGGTACTCGTCCTACGCGCCTTGCCTCCCCGTCCCGCCTTGCCATTGCGGCGTGGATGGAGTGTTGGCGATGTCATGCTTGTAGCCCGTGGTGGCGGTTTGTGAAGTGCAGATAGGTAGTTCCGACGCCTGTACTTTGTACTGGTCGTCGGTTGCGTATTGTATCAATTTCATATAGTTATTAAAATGTTTAAATAATATTTGTAGGATTATTCTTCGAAAATATTGTACGTGATGACAACTTCTGGAAAGAAAAGATGGAGAGTCAACTTTTTTAATTTTATATGGATTATATGCTTCCCGAAATTGTCAATCCAAAGATTAATGTAACATCAACATCTTACCGTAGAGTATGCCAATTATTATTAAAACTAAAATTGTTGTGACTTGTGATAAATTATTAGTAGAAACAATATTAAACAAGATTAATTGTACTATTTGAGTTTTGTTGTATTTTTTTAAATATATTTATTTCTATGGACTATTGTATTTGTATTTGTATTTTAAAATGTAATTAGGTTATAAATATAAATCAAGCTATACTTATTATTAGATAGGTATTTAAAGAATTAAACAGTTATTAATAAAATCAGAAATTAATTTAATTATTTTACTAGGTAAGAAATTATTAATTTAAGAAGTGTATTAAATTTTCAATGATTTTAATTGGTTACCAAGTGTACTGGGTATCTATATAGGTCTTAGAAGTCTGTATATTATTTGTAACAACGAATAATTATAAACGAGACATTGGAAATAGAGGCTCTCAAACCTCAAAGTCTCATATTTTGTTTGTGACCAAATATTTTAAATAAAATAATATTTTTTTTTTTTTTTTTTGAAAATTTTTTATTATTTGAAAACACAATACAAACAAAGTATTTAAAGAAAATAATAAAAATTACCTACACCTTTAAGCTAGGCTTGTGGTGGTGTAGGGAGTAACAGTATATATATATATGATTTAATTAATTACTTAATTTAACAAATAATAACCAACATTGTAAAATAATTAAAATAATTAAGAGATACTAAAATATACAATTTTCTTATAATAGACATTGCCTTAGTTCACTAGATAAAATATTGTTTATACATTTTTTTATGTTAATTTGATCATTAAAAATATTTTTTTTCACATCAATTGGCAAGGCGTTAAAAATGACAGGACCCATATAATTAATAAATTTTTGACCAAAACTCGTATTAGTAAATAAGACTTTAATATTACATAGTCTATCTTCCCCCAAAGGCTTGTCATTCTGTTTAATAAAGAAAAAGTCTGATTTTTTATGTACAAACATGATTGCGGATTTTTTGTAAAGTAATTCAAGCGGAAGCACATTAAACTCTATATAGTTTAACGAGGTAGACCCAATAAGATTGTCCTTTTTCAGACATATACGAATTAAACTATTTTGCTGAACCCTTAATGGCTTAAGAACATTTATGGATGCACCTCCCCAAATTACCATGCCATATTGCAATATAGATTGGTATAGAGAAAGATAAACTATTCTCAATGTATGAGATGATGTTATATGTTTTAATATATGAAATTTGAACATTAACGATCGCAATTTTACTATTAAACTATTGATGTGAATATTCCATTTGAGGTTACAATCGAATATTAGTCCTAAATATTTAATTCTTTTTACTATATTGATTTTCGGGCAGTTACAGTTTGATACAATTGAACAGTCATGTAATGTAATTTCTTCAAACGGTGGTAAAGTATAATTTATTGAAAAAACCATGAACATTGTTTTGTTGAAATTTAAAGAAAGTTTTTTAATATTTAACCACTTTATTATTTTCTTGAAATTTAATTCCGTTTTTTGTCTAAGAGTTTCCCAATTACTACTTGATAATAACAGACATGTATCATCCGCATATACAACTATTTTTCCATCAACTCTCATATCACATAGACTATTAATGTACATAATAAACAAAATTGGACCTAGAATACTACCTTGAGGTACACCATACATAACTTCATTTACCTGTCCCAAAACTCCATTCATATTTGTAATTTGTTTCCTCTTATTTAGATAGCTTTTGAACCAGTTTAAACAAATATACTTAATTACTATCAAAAATAATCTGACACTTGACGACTGACGAATAATTGTTTTGAATTCTTAAGGTATTTACATAAAAGTATTTTAATTTCAAGTACAAATGTCAAATACGTCCAATACAGTATTTAAAATACTTTCCAAAAAAGATACTTAATTCAAAAAGTATTTGAATAGTATTCTAAATGCTATACAAGGCAGAAGTATTTAAATACATTTACACGAATACTTGACAAGACTGTTATTTGCATCTTGAGTACAAATTTAAAATTTAAATATTGTAAAATATCAATTTACAAACACAGGTAATGTTTGTAACGTTTGAAATAAGATCAACTTACTCGTATTGGTACTAAAACTATTAACACAAAGTTGGTTTTGCTGACTGAAAATTTGATATGCTGAATTTGATATGGGTCAGCGAGAAAACATTTAGTGAAGTCAGATTTTTTCTGAACAAAATAATTAAATACCTAGTCTGAATTATATATTGAATGTATTTTTAAACAACAATGTCATAAAATATTAGCAATGTCTTATTGGTGATAAAAACTATTAGAGAGTTGTAAAAGTCACAAGAAGCAGAAGAAAAACAAAATGTGTAACAATAAAACGCATACCTAAGAATTCTAATAAAATAAAAAAAAATTCAACAACTTTTTTAGTAAAACATATTATTTATTTAAGTAGACTGATACTCCTTACAGATTTTTGTTCTTTTCAAAAAGCATGTTTAGTTCTCTAAATTGTTAGCTGTAATGTTACACCTATATGGAGATAGCACAAATTTCAAGCCAGAAAAAAGTCTTTCTACACTAACTTGAGTTGCCGGAACACTGAATACTACGTTTGAGAGCTCAAAAAGTTCTGGATATATAGGGTGTTTCATTAAGAACGCCGGATTTAATCTTGTTGTAACTTAATTAAAAAAAATTATTTTGAACAAAAAAATTATATCAACATGTAGTATAATATATTCTCCGATTTAAGTGTGGAATATCATATCTGGCATATGTACACCTCGGCTTCGCTGGCAAGCTTTTGTTCTTATCACGAAATTTGATATCACTTGCTGACACATCTCCGGGTCTAGTTCACCAATGACACGACGAATTTCTTCTTTAAGTTCTTCAATTGTTCGTGGTTTGTTTTCGTAGACATGAGCTTTGACGTAACCCCAGAGGAAAAAATCCATTGGAGTTAGATCACACGATCTGGGAGGCCAGTTCTGATCACCACATCGTGAAATAAGTCGGCCCTCAAATTTTGTATGCAATAACATTATTGTCGCACGAGCAGTATGGGAAGTGGAGCCGTCCTGCTGAAACCATTAATTGGTTATGTCAAAATCATTAAATGCTGGCCACAAAAACTCTGTTATCATATCTCGGTAACGTTCTCCGTTTACCGTCACTGTGTTTTCATATTCATCTTGAAAAAAATATGGGCCAATAACACCTCCACTCCAAAAGCCACACCATACAGTTACTCGTTCAGGATGCATTTGACGTTGTTCAATTTGTTGTGGGTTTTCTGTCCCCCAAAGTCTACAGTTTTGCTTGTTTACAAATCCACTCATATGAAAATGAGCTTCATCGCTAAAAATGATCTTCATCGCAAAATCAGCATCTTCAACTTGCATATTGTGAAACCACTCAACGAACTGTCTGCGTTTTCCGCGATCACCAGCTTTCAGCTCCTGAGTAAGTTGGAGTTTATATGGGTGTAAATGCAAATCTATTTTCATGATTCGGTATAACGAACTCAGCGGTATCGCCAACTGTTGTGATCGTCGACGAAGAGATGTCGTTGGACTGGTCAAAACACTGTCAAAAACAATTGCTTGATTCAAACGTGATCTGCGACTGCGTTGGCGCGTTGGAGTTTTGACATCTTGCACTGAGCCAGTTTGTTTGAACTTTAACATCAATCGACGAACTGTTGACTCATTAGGAGCCTCATTTCGACCCATAATATGTCTAAGATGGCGCACTGTTTCAGCATAACTTTCACTATGGCAATAAAAAATCTTAACAACTAAAACGCGTTCTTGTAAACTCAGTCGCACCATGGTTACAAACAGTACGTTAGAAACAAGCGAAATAAATTAATAAAACAAAATTTTATCGTTGAGACCTTTACCGCGTTTTATTGCGGAGAGTTTATAAATAACAATGCTAAAAGAAACAGGTAAGCCAACACAAAAAACAAAAAATACCGGGCAAATTAAATCCGGCGTTCATAATGAAACACCCTATACTAATATTTTAGATTTCAAAAATTGAAGGATATTTATTTTATGGCACAATCTTTTTTCTTCAATGCTAAACGATTTTAAAAGTGCCTCAATTTTTGTTTCAATTGTTTCAGTTTGAGAATTTGATAAAGTGCCAAAATCAGAAGACATAGATTCATTAACTTTGCTTCTAAGATTTCGACTTTGCTTCTATTTCAAGATCATCTAAGGGGTCTGTTGGATTATTATTATCATTTTCATTTTGATGGCCCTCAAGGTTTATTGAATTTACATCTTGTTTATTCAGTTCCATTTGTTTTAAACAAATCCAAATGTCGGTCAAGTATTGAACTGAAGTAGCTGACTGTTCTTTGCTCAATGTAATATTATATCGTGGATCTAAAAAAAATATCTGCAAGTAAGGACCTCTACACACGGAGCTATTCAAAAAAAACTAAACTGTTTTTTGATTGAAATTACTAATCGGTTAGTAACGCATTGGTGGCTCAGATCCATACACGAGGCAACTCATAACATACTCATAACCTACTCCTGTTCGAAACCTGCAGTTTGTTCTGGGTGACCATGGATGAAGGATGTTTTTCGTCATTTCTGGCTACACCATGGATGTTGACATTGATTCTAGTGATGAAGAAGTAATAACAGCATACTACTATTACAGAAGAAATCAAAAAAATAGGTTTTGGGTTCATCCATACCTCGAAAAAAATTTTCATCACCGATTATTACCGAAGTGAATTGAACTTTTCCGATACTAAATTTTTATGTTTTTATCGGACGTAAAAAGAAAGTTACTTATATTTGGTGAACCTAATTTCCCCTGCCATAAACAAGCGAGATACAAACATGAAAGAGTGCGGGAATGCCGAGGAACGGATATTAAATACACTCAGGTAAGTAACTTACTTTTTTATCAACTTAATGCAAATTTAGACACTTTATTAAAATGAGTAACATTTACCTATATAATTATCATATTAGTAATATTTTTATAGCAATAAACATATCAATTTTTTTTGCTTATATATGAAAACATTTTAACAATTTTAAAAAGAACATAAAACAAAATATTATACTTATTTATTCCTGTTGGTTTCATTCGTACAAGGCTTCATTAACTGCTTCATAGTACTTTTCAGAACTATTTGGGTTTATAGTTTGGAATGTGTTGGGTTGAGAGGTTTCATGAGCATTTTCATTCTGAGATATCATTAGAATTTGTTGATCAGTTGAAAGCGTTGTGGATGTAGACGAGAATGAATGAATAGGTGTGAATGCCGAATTTTTTGACAAAATGTCATCAACCATCTGAAGTGATTTACGCTTGAACAGCCGTACTTCTTCATCAGACATTTTCAAAATATCAGGTGGCATACTAAGAAGAAACATTTTTAAAGATTCTGCTTTTGGATCCAGATTAGCATTGACTGAAGAGTTCTTTTTTTTTGCCTTCAAATATTCTAGAAATGCTTTGTCCACTGCTTCGTTTTTTAATCCACGTTTTTTGGTGGACATTTATGATGGCGAAGACTCAGATTGACTCGGAGTAATGTTATTCTTCTTTTGGGGCATGTCAGTAGTTGAAGGTGTGTATAATGATGTATAAGGCATTGGTGGAGTTGACAAAAGATGTGGTTGAAATGGTGAAGATTGCTGTGGGTCAAGTTCGGAGTTGTTAAAGTCAATTTCTTCAGATTGTTCAAAACTTTCCTTCTGTTCTGGGGGATTAGGAAGATTTACAGAAGGTACACCTAACGCCTTAATATATGGAACTGTAAACTGCATAGCTTCTAATAAATAATATGCTTTCTTTGGTTTTGCTCCAGAAGCACTCGGTGCTGGTTTCATGTTGTGCACAAAAACAGCACGAAGGTTCTTCCACTTATCTTTGCATTCAGATACATACTAAAAAAAAAGATAACATTCAGAGTATACATAATTTGTAATAACAATCTAGTATTACCGTTATTTTTACGCAAACCCTATTTACTACACCCCCACTTGTAATCTACTGTACAGCAGAGTGACACCCACTTGACTACATTCTTATGGTTGTTTATTTCATTTTACAGATACTTGGGTACTGGTGGGATATTTGCGTCAATTGCTGTTTATTTTGGTAGAGGAGAATCTACAGTAGGCGGAATTGTGACGGAAACAGTAAAAGTGATTTGGGAGGTGTTGAAAAAAAACATTCATGCCAATACCAAGTACAGAGGAGTGGAAAGGAATAGCAAAACGTTTTGAAACACTCTGGAATCTTCCAAACTGTATAGGAGCCATCGATGGCAAACATGTAAGAATTAAAAAATTTCCAAATAGTGATTCTTCTAATTTCAATTACAAGTCGTATTATTCTATGGTGTTAATGGCTTGTTGCGACGCTGGCGGGTTATTCACTATTATCGAAACGGGTTTTCCCAGAAGAAACAGCGATGGGGGTATATTCAGTGCCTCAGTGCATTCAGCAATGTAATATTGGATCCAAAATGCAGGACTTAATATCCCTCCTCAAACACCATTAACATACGATGAAAATGATAATCCGTTTCCTTATTACTTTGTGGCCGATGAGGCATTTCCGTTGCTGAAATATGTGATGAGACCATACCCAACAAGAATTTTAGATAATTTGAAAAGAATATGCAACTATAGATTTAGCAGAGGGAGAAAAACCATTGAGTGTATGTTTGGGATGGCATGTGAAAAATTTGCTATTTTGAATGGTCCTATTCGTATCAGAGATCCAGAAAATGTGAATTTGGCTTGAATACTTCACAACTACGTACGAAAAAAAGAATGACTTCAGTATACACCTTATTATTCCACAATTTGTGAATCAAATAACCACATTAACGTAATACCTTTACCACAAAACTTGACTATAAACATAACCTCTTCTGCAGCTGCTCTTAGAAATTATATAGCAAACTATTATCTTACAACTCAAGCATCTTTGCCTTGCCATATGCTATTAATTAGTTTTTGAAAATAATTATTTTTTGTCTAATATTGTTTAACTATTTAATAACTTAATATCTACAAATAATCTAACACGTATTATTTACATATTTAATGATTTTGATCATTATTTTCTAGTTTGAAGTTTAAAATATTTTTTTTTAAGATTTTAACTATAATAAGCTATTTGTGATCAATAGTATGCCTATATTTATTTAATTAAAAACTGTAAAATCATGATAAAAAATAATTTTCAATTATAAAATATATTTATTTATTTTTAAATAATTTATAACTAAAATGCATAGGCGGAGATTTGATTGAATTTAAATTTAATTTGGAGGCTTAAATCTTTCTTTGCAAAATAAGCCAAAATAATAATTACAACAGTGAACAACGCAACACGAAAGACGAAACGGAAATCGGCACTATGCAGTCGGCACATTAATAATGTTTATCAAAGTCTGATCATCAGAAATTTCTATTTTTGTCATTGCGATAATGCGATAACAATCCGTCGCGACGGTCGCCCGGTGTACACCGATTACGAGTATATTATTGTATAATATTAATAAAATTTCGGGAATAACTAATAATATAATATATAGTTTAAAAATCCACAATAATCATCAATATATTTATTTTTAATTAAATTTTTTTATTAAATTTATAATTATATTACTACATATTATTATTTACCTAACATATTTACTGATCTTCCTACTTCACTCCATGCTTTTTCTGTTTCATCCTTTCTGGAATATCCAGAAAGCGTGAAGTAATATAGAACGGGATGTTTTTCCAGTTCTTCCACCAACTTTAAATTCATTTTTTGATCGTTCATTTTTACACAAATATCAAATCTTTGCAATAAAACAATAAAAAGCTTCGTTGAGCAACAAAATATTGAAGTGAGAAAACTTAAAAGTGACTCGACAGTTGAATCACTCGGAACTTATCACTAACGCGTTAGTAACTGGTTGGTAACTAGTAGCGCCGTCTGTTATGTTCCATTGAATAACATTGGTAGTGACTCTACGGGGACTAGTTAGTGATTCGCTTCAGTATTTAGTTTCAAATGAGTTGCTCTGTGTGTAGAAGGCCTTAGACTTGGTTGTTCAAAATCATTTTTTCTCTATTGGTCATTAACTGAACTATTTTATTAGCAAAGTATGAATTCAATGCATTCTTTTCAATCTTACAGGAAATCCATGCCCCATAAAAGTCTGTCATGGTTAACTGTTCAGTTTGTAGTTTTTTGAACATGCTTTTGCAGGTAATAGGGTAATGGCACCAGTGAATGAACACTTAAGGTTGTAAAATGTTCAAAAATATCTAACACATTAATAGGTAATATTTTTTTTGTTTTTTAATCGTAAGTATTAATATTAATATTTTTATATTTTTAAATATATGAAAATGATAATATTCAACACAATATTATTTATTTAAGTTCTTTCTGCCAATTTCACAGTGGGTGAACGTAATTTCTAGTAGGTAAATTAACATAATTATTAAAATTTAAGCTAAAGCAAATTTGTGTGCTTTTTCAGCCTCCATGTAAATTTACAGATTTGAAACATAAATTTTAAAATGTAATATTATCATATGAAACAGTGTATATCTCAATTATATGACCATCAATATAATTAGGTAAGTAAAAATAACATTTATAATCGTAATAAACAATTTTTAAATTTTTATTAGTTTGTCCTCAACTTTTTTCAATACAGGTATAAATGGAAAACAAACTTTCAAACTTCAAATAAAATATTAAAAGCAAACTTATAATAATATATAAAAACAAATATTTAAACTTAAAATGTTAAAAAAAAAATAATAAATAAACTTAAACTTCCAATGCTTTAAAACTTATAGGTATACTGTACTTGAATCTTTCATGTTTTCGTCTTTTTATTTCTTCCATTTTCTAAGTATTATATGCTAAGTAAAAAATAGTTATAAATATTAATCTAAAGTATACTTTTTTTATTGATAATGTTCATTCACTAGAATTTACATTGAAACACCAGTAAATGAACAAACAATAAAAACCTGTTAATTTATTGGTATAATTCATTTAAAACAGCAATGTCATTTATAAATAATTTTTGTAAAAGCATTATGTATTCAATTTTGTAAATTTTAAGCAAAACAATTATTTTTTCTTTTCCAGTGAATGAACACAGTGTTCATTTAATAGATTTGTAGTACTTTTCTAATCCAGTACATGAACACCAAGATATCAGGGTTAAATAAGCATTTTAGATTACAAAAAATGACAAATTCGGGTTCCTGAGCATTTAAACATTAATATTAATATATATTTACCTTTGAACTCTAATAGTTGGAACTATAAAACCTTAATCTGTACACCGGTATTTTTCAAAAAATAAAACATTTGATATCATTTATGCCTTTATCTACACATAACTAGTAAACATCATTATTATCAAATATTAATATTTACAGTGTCACCAAAACTAATATTTCTAGTATTTTATAATGACATTTATATAAACATCACTGTCGCCCAATTCTTAAAATAAACAGAAACATAAAGTTTGTTCATTCACTATTAGTGTTCATTAACTGGTGTCGTTACCCTAGAGATTGTTTCAACTTGTTGCCAATCATAGTAACTTAAAGCAATTTTTTTAATTTGTTATCATTAACTGACATATGTTGAATAAAATTTTTCAAATATTGCAACCTTTCCAGTATATCATAAGTAGAATTCCAACGTGTCAAACCGTCTAGTATAGGTGTTTTTGATTTTTCTTTTTTGATTAAATACACGTAATTTTGGTTGAGTAACTTCCAAATCAAAGCTCTCTCTGACTTTATTTAACAATTTTTGGAATGTATTATCTTTTATACTAGGTACCTATCTAATACAGTCAATTGAAGTGCAATTTTCATTTATAACCACTGGAAATAATAAAATAAGTGCCAAATAAACGTTTAATGAGGGATGGAGTGGCCGAACGGACTAAGGCGTCGGTTGCGACGCGCACCGTCGCCGGTTCGAACCCGGCTACGGGCGACATTTTTCTTCTGGTGTGCGGAGAGACAGACCAACATGGCGACCATCCCCCACCTGGGCATGGCAGATACCTACGTGTGTTCACGCTAAGAGGTACCACTAAATATTTCAGTTCGATGATCTTGTACTGAAATGGGGTTTTCGCTGAATGACAGATAGTACTTAAATACACATTTTTAGATAAATTTCAAATTTTTAACACTTTCGATACGCGCATGCGCGATACAACTTACTTTTTTTTAAATGGTGACACCATTTTTTTTTTCACATATTCGGATAGAGTATTTTTTTCTAAACAATTTATGTATAAAAAGTTTTTTCTAATTGTTATGTAATTTACCTACCTAATTAATATTTATACTATTATGTAATTGGTATCGACGACAGCGCGATACTGCGATAGCCGTTTCATATTATAATAAACAGTCTTAATTAAATCGTACTCGCTGTAAGTTGTTTTGTCGTCCGCTGCACTCCGCGCGTCAGTCTAAAAAAGCGCAAACATAACATTTGGCGACGAAGAAAATGCGTTATACGTTTTTTTTTTTTTGTTAAAAATGTATAAAGGAAATCGTATAGATTATAAGGGGCGTGATTAATATATGAAAAGTGTTTTGTTATTTTTGTGGTCTCGCAAACGTACAAACGAAGTTCATAATGTCGAGCACAATTTCGTCTTATGTGCCAGATCAGGAACCGTTTAAAAATTATCTTGATCGTTTAAGGGCTCAGTTGTCAGTGTTAAAAGTGAAAGACGATCAACGCCAAAAGTACCTCATTGCGTTTATAGGTTCAGAAGCCTACAGTCAATTGAAAAACGCATGTTTACCGTGTCAACCCT